TCCTAGTACAGGTTGAAGATTGGCTTTCTCCAATAAAGTGTTCATTATACCAGGCCTATACGGTTTTCTATTACCTTTTTTTTAAATATGATATTTGTTTAAATTTGTGATTTAAAAACAAGTAGGCATAACAGTAGTTAAATGCCTAAATACCCGTTATAAATAATTGTTGGCCGTCGCATGACGTTTGGAAAGTTCGCTGAGATGATAGTCCCTGAATATGGTTTCTATAATGCAATGGATGCAGAACGCACCGCGACAAAGCTCGCGCCACGGATCGTTTTTTTAATGATGATCCTTTCTGACCGACAATCATGTCTCGGTCATGCATGATTGACCGAGACATTTTAACGTATTTACTATTCAGGGGTTACTACGTACTGAGTAATATAAGTTTCTTGGTACTTGTAATGCTGTGTATTCGTAATTCAGTGTGCCTGATGATTGAAATAGTAATCATAATTTGATGAGTTTTACTATACTTTGTGAAAAGGCCTATTGTATAATGACATAATTTATCTATTCTGGTACGGTACCGTAATGTATAGTGGAGTAGCTAGGGGGTCAGGGGGCACGTTCCCCGGGCGCCAGGTTTTAGGGGGCGCTGAAATAGGAGAATGAGTAAAACAATTAGCACTTTTTAGAAAAACACGACGAAAATGATGTATTTCGTCAGGCGCGACTATTTCCAGTTAATAATAAGAATCTGAATGTAGCTGTTTTTATTGGCAAATTTATAAACTGTAATTTCTTTTCAGTCCATTTCGACCGTTTTCTCTTGTTTTTTTTTTTTTTTGTTTATTCTGTGATGACTACATGACTGAAGCTGATCCTGCCATATCTCAGAGCCACGATGAGAAGCGAGACTATCTGCTTTGGTACTACTTAGTATTGAGCGTGATGAAGCAGACAACATTGCTAACTTTGATCATCATGTTATTAACTTATTTGCTAATGCAAAAGCACACAAAATTCCGTTGCGAGTTTAAATAATGTTAAAAATTCAGCAACTTACAAGACTCTACTGTAAGATGAATTTAGAGAATAAGAATACTAGGCCTAAGCTGTATGTGATAAATACAACAGCCTTACACATTAGGATAATGGTAAAATTGTATACAAAGTGCCGAACATTGTAATGCAGTTTCAATAGTAAGGAACATGGATGGCGCTAGCTCCCCCCCCCCACCCCCTTCGGGGATAGCTGCGCCCACATCCCCTTCCCTTCGTCGGAGAGAAAAACCATAATTCGTTGGGGAGATAAAAAACATATATGTACTTTGTACATATTAGTAGACTCTAAAATCGATTAAATAAGCCTTTGAAACCCATAAATTGACCACTATTTTATCCTTGTTTTTGAATGCTGGTATCGTCTGTGGTGTTACTACATTGGCGTTATTTGCTGCTCTATACAATTATTTGCTTTTGTCTATGGGTAGAAGCCTTCAGGGCTGGACAGGTGTAGCAGGAATTTTAGTTCCAGGCGAATTTTAGTCTGGACGATCAGAGCCTATGGGACACAAGTTCGCAACAATTTTTTCCGGGGTAAACAATTATTAAATATGTCTATGTCAGAGATCCCAAGTTTGAAAACCAACAAATAGGGAGATTTTTTTCATGAAGCGATCGCCTCCTGTAGCGACGCGCTGTGACGCCTTACAACGCGCTGTGCAACATGAAAGTATTACACAAAATGAAGAAAACA